GTAGTGTGTGTGTGTGTGTGTGTGTGTGTGTGTGTGTGTGTGTGTGTGTGTGTGTGTGTGTGTGTGTGCGTGCGTGCGTGCGCGAGTGCGTGAGTGTGTGTTTATCGACCGCCAGGTTAGCAGCTGTGTCGTCTCTCTGCGTTGTAGGTAATCGTACTAACTAGTACCGGAAAGACGAACACAGTATTCTATATAGTGGGATCTGCGTCTAATTGTCGTGATCCACAAATAGATTCTAATGGAACACAGTAATTTAGGCATCATAGGAGAAATTGCTTGGCAGATGAAGAATAAATACCAGCCATCAATACTTTAAAACTACAATATTGTATCGATATATAAATGATGCGCATAAATAATTATCATGCATATATTAATATTATGCATGCTAAAAATTTAATTGTTAAGAGATAATTATTATTATTAGATAAGAAAAATAATCAATGCTTGCAAGGCTAAATGCACGCCTGTAATGTGCTTCACCGACTCTACCTGTTCTCAATTGAGAGGCCCCATACTGTGTACAATCCGTAGGATAGCAAAATTGTCCGATCGTCGCATAATAAAGCATATAATTCATATGGAGTTTGAAAGAGTAGGAGATGCAGTAGTGTAAATCGTAAAATATCGCCCCCTGTGTAATAATAAACCAAATGGACTGTTGTAATATTCCGGAACTAAGTGCACAGAAAATTGGTGGAAAACACCTGATTGAAAGCTTTAAATGGTTATATAAGTATATATTTCTTTGCTATGCCTGGCTAGGCTTACCCACCCTTGTGTGCACGACTAGTTTTCAGTATCAGGCTACTTCTATCCGCGTATTTTGAAATACTATGCTTTATCGCCCGACAATGCGCGATCAAGCAAATTGTAGAACGTGTATTTATATCATAAACTAGTTTCGATCGGTTACTGCTATTATTCTAGACAGGTTTTTCCCAACTGCTAAGCGCATTAGTGTACACCTAATAGCTGCCTAAAGGAGCGGAGACGCACACACTCAAGTTCAAAAGCATATCCGTATCTTACACGACTAGGATTGTGGCGAACACTGTCACTTATAACTATGGCGGTATATCGTGTATTAAGTAAAACAATGCAAGGGATTTTTGCTTTGAAATTTTAAGCAGATGCGCGTCGCAAACTGGTGTAATGTAATGTGAACAGTACAGTTTGCGGTGCATGTGAACATAATATCACAAATCGTCTATTTCAAATTAATTTAAACATGAATAAAACTACTGGCGTTGAAGGTAGTATTGTAGTTCCAAAAGTTGAAGATCTCCGTGTCTCGTAGAGTCGTAGCAGATTGTAGCAAAGAGTAAAGACGATGTAGTCGCAGAATTTGCTCTTGAGGACTGACTTTATTAGTAAACACAATACAAAATATATCCCCTCCCCTGACCGTGCCTACGTCCCGTCATCTCTGTTTTCGTCTATCTCCACTACATCGTCTCTCGTCTCTTCCTCTGGGTAATAAATAACCTATGATCTTTCGCCCGTGCCTATTTATACGTTTCCGAAAACCACCCGGCGACATTTCAATCCGACCGGACATTGGCGGGGCTAGGAGACGCGACGAGGCTACGCAAATATATAGTGCTGTACATCCCGCGTCATTACCAACACAACAACGAACCACAAGGCCAGAACACAGGCCAATTAGTTCCACTGCCTCGCCTGGCTAGAAGCGCTACTGGTTAATTACAACGCACAATGTACAATACAACAGTAGCATAAAGTGCCATATTCCAATCCGTTGTATATTTCATGACAATGTACCTGTAAAAGCGGCCGTATATATAAATAAATAAATAAATAAATAAATAAATAATCATTACTATCGAACTATTTGCAAACTTGACTGAGCTGAATGTACCTGCACCACAGACTGGGATGCTGCTCGAGGTGTTGGCGCTAGCCGAAGCCGTGGCAATTCGGGTTGAACTATTTGCGGTTCTTCGAGCCGTCCTTCTTCTATCGAAGCCATCGCTACGCGATTTGACAATGTGCTTACGGTAGGCCTGTGCTCAACGGCCGATACACGGTCACTGGTACCCTGTGTTGATTGCCCCTCTGCCACGTAATACACTATGACCAGCTTTACGACGAATTGGCATCCCATCGTGACAAACGCGTTAATGATGATGGCCGTGGACAAAAGAACGACTTTATAGTCAGCGCGAGCTGTCATATAGTAGGTGGGAATGAAAGATAACCACATGATAACGGTTGTGTACACGCAGATGACTATGTAGTGCGATTCATTGTAATTAACTGGGAGTTTTCGAGCCTGGATGGCATAGTACGTGCACGCGAGTATGAGCAGCACGTTGTAGCATAGCGACGAGATAAACTCTAGCGGCAGCATCCAGCAGTACAGTTCCACGTGAGGTAGCATGGGTACGGGCTGGTGCAGCCTAGCCACAGTCGGCACACGGGAATACGTGACAATACTTGATATTATCTGCAACGATTAAAACGAAGAGATGTTTTGAAATCATTATTTGCTCGTTAAATTATAGTCGCTTTAAGCCCGGCGCACACGTGAGTTATTTCACTCAAGTAAAATGACGCATGAGTCAAATTACTCAACGAAAATCCGCCGCACACGTAAGAGAGAGAGAGCGAGAGGGGAAGAGGGAGAGTGTGTGACGTTGGTTGTGCGTCAATTTAATTTTACACCCTCTCTTCTGCATCGCTCCATTTATTTCATTTTCTCATTATAATATACAAATAGAATTTATTGATCCGCTGAACCACTCGGATAGGAGAATAATCAGGTTATGTGTACGTCAAATATTTGTGCAATGTATCTTCGTCTTAGGAAAATCCCACGTCAAAATCTCACAATTTACCGGCGTGTAGTTTTTTGGTGCAGTTTGCGACAGGTTTTAGTTCACCACTGTGCAAACTGTAACATGGTAAATCGTAAAGCGAACGAAGTGAAATTACTTGCTATTTAAAACTAATTCACAAACTTGGCTAAATTGTTCTAAATAAACGTATTGAATTTATCTTTATTATTCTTATAGCTGTTCCTATTTATTTGTGTTATTTAACCCATTAGCCAGAAGCGGTTCATGTTATTTATGGTTTGTTAAGTTTGTGTTCAAATACACTTTTGTTGGCTTACATTCAAAACTGGAATTTTTAGGTTATTTAAGTAAATGATTGCCGTCATTACTATATAGTATGTTTATGATGGATCATAGTATATTGATAAATATAGTTAAGCATTTACTTGCTTGCCTCACCAAGGATGTTACACCAAGCAACAATGTGCTCTGCAGGTCTATCATGAACAAAATGAACAACAGTGTCGAATCAAAGGCTTTTCACAATATCGTATAATGATGCGTGCAGATATTTCACCCAAACTAATCATTTTATTATTGCTGATATATTAAATTCACAAATACAATGAACACATTATCGTATATTTAGTGAACTGATACGCACATGTGTGAACGTTATTAGTCATAGCTAATTATACATGCGATGTCAAGTAAGCTAGCTATATTCAGTAAACGTAAGGTATATCCGAGCCTCGTGACTTTGTAGTTACAACAGCCGGCGACTGCATCAATAAAGCGTGCTATCTGATGCTACACATACTGTGAGCCCCTTACAGAACCATGGTGCAGATGATGACCGCGGGACTTGTGTCAACAATCCATTGCTTTCAGCTTGTATTCGAGAGGTATTAGCTGTGCACACACCACCTGCGATAACGTGTAAAAGTCCGCACACTTGACTGTTATGGTTATCTCAGGTGCGAATGCGTTGTCCGTTCACTGAGGTAAAGGCTGAGTACAAGCTAATGTTTACAGCTAATCCACCGTTCTTAAATAAACTCTTGCTCTTGTGCACTCTCCTGGGAGTTACACACCTACATACCTACACATTCATTTGTCTGTATCGAGACAAATCTAAGAGAATCGAGGTTTCTCTTATCAAAGTACTTACTGCTATTTGCGCCTGTATAGGCCTATATAGCCCCTCATATTGTAGGGATGCAGAATATAGGAGAACAGAAAACATACAAATGGTATATATGGTATATGGAATATATACGTAATAACAGGGGGTGAATCATGACAGCCTTTGTTGACAGACTAAATAAGATCTGTCATTATTCACCGAAGATAATAAGCTATATCCCGCAAAACATGCGCGGTCTATATCTAATATATGGTAATTTTATATCTTTTCCATCTGTTTCGATCATATGAAGACTTTTTCCATTTTCCCCATTATAAATGTCTTGTTACGCAAGATTTTTTTTATGCAAGACCGAATAAGCACATACACGTACCGTACGCGCTCAGGCACGCACACGCAAACGCGCGCGCACGCACGCACCCATGCGCATATATATATTTATGAATATATATATATATATATATATATATAATATATATAATAATAATATATATATATATTGCTTAACGTACGTACATATCAGCAGAATCTATCCTAAACGCGTATAATTGCTTCAATCATTGAAGGACACGTAAACAAAAATAAGCTTCATCTGTCAGAAACGATTGATTTGCATTCGACCATTAAGGTGAGATAGCAGACAACGGCGATGCGTCAATATTTTGTCAGTATAGTCCTAATTTTCGTCATGTGCAGGGCTAGGGCCGCCAGCAGTGTTTTACATGCAGTCGTTTTTGTTGTAGACAGAGTCAGTAAAAACTGAAAATAATATGAACGCACATTCACAAATACTACCCCTCAATTAAACTTCCACTGTTGTGTCACTGTATATCAACTTGTTTTCCCAAAAACTACATAATTCAGAACTAGCCGCTCCCGCACTTGCCGCTTCGAGTGTGCTGTGTCGCCATTGTAATGATATATATATATATGTATATCAGGAGTTAATAAAGACAAATTGTCTTTCTTGTGATTTATCTTTATTAACTCCTGATGTATATGCTATATATATATAGGCATATCATTACAATGGCGACACAGCACACTCGAAGCGGCGAGTGCGGGAGCGGCTAGTTCTGCATTGGTGTTTGTACGGCGACGGTAAAAGCTAGAGAAGATGAATAGGGGAGTAGGGGTGAAGAAACGGAATAGAAAGGAAATTAAAGGAAAACTAACGTAATTCTATTTGATTACATATATTATAATTAGCATCGATACGTACGTCCTCTCCTTATCGTCGCGTCACATCGAAATGGACTTGCATGTTTCCTTCTTCGTCGCGTTCTGTGTGGATTGGCATCTGACAAGTATACAGCACAAGCCCACGCTCACTCGGTGTGCTGACAAGAAGCGAACTGTGGTCTCGCACTCTATACCACGCGTAGTCTGTCTGTAATTATTCCGCTAGATTTACGCCAACAACGACACATGCTGCGTTACAGGCTATACTTGCGTGCCTGCCATCGAAAGTGGACAAGAATGATAGTCCCCGTTTCCGGACAGATGGGCACTAGTCACTATCTCGTTACGTCCCGGCAGACGAGTGGGTTTATGTTTGTTAACACAACACCGTGAAGAGCACGTGTAGGCCGGCCGTCACCGAAACCCGACCGGCAGACCCGCTCCTTGGTCGCTCCACGATGTCTCCTGCTGAATGCCTGCATGACCGGTCTTTGCCACGCTGTACATTCACAGCCAATCAAACTGATAAAAACTATAGATAGAGAAAGAGACCGACCGACATAGTGATAATTATTATTTTTATTTATTTATTTATTTATCTATCTATCTATCTAATTATCACTATGTCTGTCGGTCGGTCTCTTTATCTATCTAGTTTTTATCATTTTATATAGATATTATCAGGAGTAAGATAATATAGAATCTATATTATCTTACTTGACTATGTATGTGCGGATTCATTGCTAATTAACTGGGAGTTTTCGAGCCTGGATGGACATTAGTACTGTGCACGCGAGTATGAGCAGCACGTTGTAGCATAGCGACGAGATAAACTCTAGCGGCAGATCCAGCAGTTACAGTTCCACGTGAGGTGCGATGGGTACGGGCTTTCGGCTTGCAGCTAGCCACAAGTCGCGCACACGGTGAATACGTGCAATACTTGATATTATCTGGCAACGATTAAAAACGAAGGGATGTTTTGAAATCAATTATTCAGCTCGTAAAAGCCCGGGCCGCACACGTGAGTTCATTTTACCAGGTAAAATGACGCATGAGTCAATTATCAACGAAAATCCCCGCACACCGTTGAGTAAAAATTGACGCCATGGTCAAATACTCAACGAAAATTCCGCCGCACACGTGAGTAAAAATGACTCATGCGTCATTTTATTTGAGTAAAATAACTCACGTGTGCGCCGGGTTTAAAGCGACTATTATTAGCGACGCTGAACGCTGCTGAGCAAAGATCACTACGGCGACTTAGTGTTTTAATCGCGGGTTTTTTTCTGTAAGTTACTTTCATCTTCAGCTAGGCTTCATGTTTAATTTATATGTAAAACTTTAATAGTACTCAAAGGCTATGTATGTGTATATGTGTAGAAAATGATCGTATGTTTGACTGTTTCCTGAATTTTCTGCCATTTGTCTTTTGGACATATATTGCCTAATATAATATTTAGCAATTAGTTGTGTTATATTATGAATATGAATATGAATATAAATATGAATATGAATGTGTATATGAGTATGAATATGAAATATGAATATGAATATGAATATGTGATATGAGTATGAAAAATTATTAGAATATGAATATGAATGAATAGATTGAATGTGATATTGCAGTATGAAATGAATTATGAATATGGTTTCTGAATATTAAATATGGATATGAATATGAATTTGTATACATGAGTATGAATATTGAATATGTATATGAATATGAATATAAATATGAATATGAATGTGTATATGAATATGAATATGAATATGAATATGAATATGTACTAGCAATGCATGGTTATGGTTATGATTATGGATATGGTTATGAATTTGGGTATGATTATGATCACGATGCACCATGCACGGGCACGCAACGATTACCGATCGACGATTAGATACGTGATCACGATCACGATCACGATCACGATCACGATTACGATCACGATTACGTTAATGATTATGATTATGATTGTGATTGTGACTATGATTAAAAATATTATTATTGAAGTATATGATTAGGCCTATGGTTATGATTAGGATTGAGATTACGACTAAGATTACAATTAAGATTAAGATTAAGATTGAGATTAAGATTAAGATTAAAATTATGATTAAGTTTATGATTATGATTATGATTAGGATTGAGATTACGACTAAGATTACAATTAAGATTA